GGTTGCGAGGGCATCCCTTTCACCAGCTCATCCATGAAGGGCGTCTCTGTTCACTTTAGCTTCAAACAGTCCCCCCTTCCCCCTCCCTCTTTCCTGCATTGCCCTTCTCATACACTGCCTGCTTTCACCCCAAGAGGACAACCTCTCAGATTCTCCTCTCTCTCTCTTTCCCCCTCTTCTCTTCCCTCTGTCTTTACCCAATTTAATAGCCTTGTGTTTCAGATTTTTTCCTCTGCCTTGTCTTCAGCTTGTCTATCACTAAGCTCAGATAATATCTAGTAGCTACATGCTGACGCTCTGCTATTCACTCACATGTCACTCTAACAGGTAAGCACAGACATAGAAATAAAGGGCTGCTTGATTTTTCGTTTCCATGCCACAAGCCAACACTGTCAGCCTTTTTCCTATTCCTTCCCAATGTGTGTCCAAAGTCATATGTTTACTTAGCTTTAAGTTAAGCATCAGTAAAACTAAGATCTTTGCAGAAACCTTTAAGTAAGTGACACACACACACACACACACACACACACACACACACACACACACACACACACACACACACACAAAGATCTTCTGCTTGTTTTCAGTGGTGGTGAAAGACACCAGAAATAGTAAAACTCCCATTTCGATCCTGTGTTTTGTGGCCTTATTCTTTCCTCTTTGCAGTCATCTCCTTCTTTACAGTTTCACTCTTGCTGCATCCTTACTTTTTATTTGAATTCCATAGTGGGTTTATGGACGTGCACTTAGGATCTGGCTCCTCAAATGCAAGAAAAGCAAAAGTTATATATAAACAAGAAGAAATGCTGGTTTGCAATGCAGTTTATTTAAGATGGTCCAATCAAAATCTGAATTTCCCTTTGTTATCATGGAAAAAGCATCCTTTGGTCTAAATAGGTGCAGGAGTATCCAGCTTGCTGTTAAAAGCCAGCATCCATAATGGTATTGGTGGGTTTGAGTGCAGCTGGTATAACTAACACTTATATTTGAAAATGCACCACAAATGAACAACAGATCCAGACGCCTTTTTGGAGACCTCTTGTTTTATTTCCGCAAAACAGAGCCACATCACATTCTGCATGTATTACATCAGCGCTGATATCAGACCTCAGCATGTCATGTCTGGCCTGCAGACAGTTTTTCCTGTGCTGCAGGAAACACTGAAAACATTTGATGGATTATGAACAAAAACTGCAGGAAAGGAAGCTGGAAAAACTGGAAAACATTTGAGTTGCAGTTGTTCCTCTCATTTCCCGAAGTCTTCCAGTGTGGTTTCAATGAGATTCGTTTACAAATAATCACATTGTTGTTAAATTTACACTTCACCCACTGATTCAGCTTGGAAACACGATTGTAGTTATGTTTAAGGAAATCCAAAGCAAATACACAAGAATGAGGTTTCCTAAATACCAGAGTAACACATCCAAATCCAAAAAATGGATGTCCCGCTTCAAGATTTAATGGGTGTTAACAAAGCTGTTATTGTTTAGTGAGGACTGTATTTCAAAGTTTCATTGCAATGACTGCAAAGAAATGCTCACATAATGTGACAGTTAATAGTCTGCCGACCACAAAGGCCTATTTAACCGCTCGGTTCCTCTAATTAAATGCATGACAATAAAGGAGTGAAAAAAACACTATGAAAAATAGGAAAATAAAACTGTCTCTGTCCTTGGAAAAGGAGCTTTTTTGAGTGGAGGACAGCTTGTTTAGTAGCAGGGAGTGTCAACCTTAAGTCTTTGTTTTTGTGGTTGTTGTGTGTGAGTTTTCAGTGTGCTGGCTCCACCTTATTTAGTAAAAACCCTCTGTTGCTCTCTCCCGTATAAGTCAAGGTTCAGGAATTTGCAGGAAATAGCTCCGGCCGCTGGCCAGAGTGTCTGCTCGCCACATCCATTGCATGCATCCTCACACTGATCAGAATCAGAATCAGAATCAGAATCAGAAAGGGGTTTATTGCCAAATGTTGAGCAGGTTTACAATATTAGGAAATTGCTGCGGTGCTTCAGTGCAAACATAGTGTCATAAATGCACGTATACACACACATAGGAATGTGTGGAGGAAGGCGTTGCTCTTGTTTTGTGGACTGACGCGACGCAGTAAGAATACACAGAAACAAACAAAATGGCTGTGTGTGTAGGTCAGATATTACTTAATGCAGATCAAGTTTGTTTATTGTACATTTACCTTTATTTAATTTCCTTTTAGATTCATTTGACATAGATTCTACTCCAAGAGTCCAAGAGGACACTAATATGATATGATGAGTGGCACACCTAACAGCTGAGTAGTAAAAACTTTGAAGTATCATTTATTTATATAAGTTGTAGGAAGGTCATTCACAAACAGTGAGGATGTGCACAAGGGATACTCTGCAAACAAATTTAGACTGGTCTCAGATCAGATGTGCACAAGTGATAAAGGCCTTTAATTCAATCCAATTTAGTTTTAAAGAAATAAATAATCATAATAATAATTCTGTCGTTAGTTACTGTTTTCCAGAAGAATACAAACCAAAAAAGGCTCATGGAATTAATTCAAAGCAATTAAATTATATATTAAGGTTAGTCATAAGGTTTAGGCTTTAGCAAACCCGTTTATTAAAATATATTCCAATAAGCAACCCTTTCACTACAAGGCCCCAGTCGTCACATTAGTGATCATAGATCAATTATAAATGCTTTGCATCATGAAACTGCATTCATTAAACAAATATCATTATTGTCACTTATATACTGTTTTTGAAGCCTCCGTTAATGAAGCCTGAGATGCAGTTTCTTTTTTTCTAATAGGAAGTAACAAATTGAGTGGATGCAAATGAAAAATATTAGCTTTTCAAACTACAAATTCTTGTCTTTATACTGCATGACTTACCTGAATTAACATTTTTTAAAACTGCCATCCAAGTGTTGGTGATTATGAGTTTGTGTGTGTGTGTGTGTGTGTGTGTGTGCGTGCGTGCTTGCATGTGTGAATGCATGATCTGTTTTGATTGCATAGCCGATGCCTGTGCAGTCTGTGTCAGTATTTTGTCTGAATCTGCTCACACACAACCGATCCACACAGATTTGTTGCAGCCTGTGATAGATAAGGCTTACTCTCATCCCTGCATTGTTTTTTTAAGTCACTGCTCTGAATGTCTGCGGTGTTGACGGTCTAGTCGTCACCAAAAGTTTCAAATGCGTGTCAGAGGATTTCACCCACTTTGCACACACATACACACGCCAGCATGCAGGACCCTTACCACGCTTAAGGAAGATTCTGTGTCTTTGTGTATAAGTAATACTAAAGTACCTGCACGCTGGCGTTACACCGATAAGCATGACTTGGGGAGAAAGGAGCACCTGTGTCTTGATGCCCGCAGGTGTGTTCTGGAGAGCACATGGGTTCATATTTAGAAACACTGACCCTTTGTCAGTTTGTTCTCAGGTGTCCTGGGCTAATGAAAAAAGGGCTCTGTTTGTACTCTTTCTGTATCTCACTGCCTCAAGATGCACACGGTGTTAATTTGGACAATAAAGGTTTAGTCATAGCTAATGGCATGCATCTCCCCCTCCCCTCTGTTTTTGTCTGACTTTTTGTCTCAGGTTGAAGGAGATTGATATGAGTGAATACGATGCTGCTACATACGAGCGCTTCTCCAGTGCCGTGAGGAGACAAGTTCAGTCACTCCGCATCATCCTGGACAGTTTACAGGTTGGCGTCACACCACACACTGTTTGTGTTTAACACAAGTTTCCTTGTTTGAAGGTATCAGTGTTTTTGCAACATCCAGGTTCATCTGCAGTAGCTTTTTTTTATTTATTGCTCAGTCCCAATATTATAAAATGAGTAAAATATTGAAAGCCAAGATTTCCAATTTGCTGGTTTAAGTGGTTGCTTGCAATGACAGGCTCGTCTTTGTCAGATCAGTTTATTTAAACACCACCAACTCAGGCTGCAGTAGCTTCTATTGTACAGCTTGACACTGAAAAAAGTCATGGGGTCATAAAGTCAGCAGATGACAATTGGTTGACCTTATACATCCTCGCACGTGGTGCTGGACACGGAAAGAGGGGGCGCTGTCCCCCAGGAGCACTCTGATTTGTTAAAGAGAATGCGGACTAAGATCACAGGGAGTGGTGGTATTGTCTACGTTTCATTATTTTGGTTTCCACTTTCCGCCCTTTGTTTGGGCGTCTTAGTGCGAGCGTCTCTGGTGTGCTTGTTTGTGTGCGTTCATGGACATCTGACAAGAGCGCAATCATGCAGCCACGATTACAGAGCAGTGACACTGAACTGCGCTCTATTATTCTTCTATCCAGGTGTGAAGGTGTTTTTTTGCATGTGTTGTGCTGTGGAGGGTGTGTGATTTTGTTTTCCATCCAGGTGGGCTTTGAACATGAGTTTGGTTGTAATTTGCGTTTGTCCTTATTGCCTTGGGCGGCTTCTTCACTGGAGAGATGATGGAGATCCCACTAAAACCCAGCAGGCAAGACGCTATGAAGTCATGTCAATTTTTATGCCATTCCTACAGAGGGACTGAAAGGAGTCATACACACGCACACAACTATAAATGGCAAGCTTTCAATAAACTGATAGTGTATTGTTTCCATCTGCTGGGGTTTTCCTCAGGGAAAACTCTCTCTATTTACCTCTCAACAATAGACTGGCTTGGAACATACAAACGCCTCAGCCCGCATTGTGAAGTTCTAAAAGTAAGATATCAGTCCGAGCTGACCGCAAAGTGTTTTTATTTTACGTTATTGATGAGGAAGAGTATCCTGGCTTTTGCGTCAAGACATTTCATTAATATGACATTTAGGTGCCGCACTAACACAACACCTCTTTCAGTTACAGTTCAACATAATTTAAAAAAACAGCGCCTTGAGCCAACTGTTGTTGTGAATTGGCACCATGTGAACAAAATTGAACTGAATAGTTAAATTGAAGCTGACACCTTGTATTTTAAATGACATGCACTTAAGCACCAGAAGTAATAACTTCAGTCTGTTGTATTTCTGGATAGGTAATTTTTGTGCCTGCTTTGAGAAATGTTGTTGCGTCATGAATGAAGAGAATGTGCATCCATTTATGTCAGAATCGTTTGTCATAGTGAGGAAAAAAGGGATCTTGTTCCGTTACCTTTGTTTGTGCTGTTCTACTGTGCACTGCATTCACGAATGCACAACTGATTATCTACAGAAAGGTGAAAGTAGTTGTTACATCTGTTACTACTTATCAATGATGTGAAGTCAAACAACCTTGTTATTGCTGGCTATTCTTTGTTTCTTTGTGTGCTCACACGTCATTTGCCGTGTAAAGAAAATCTCAAGACACGAAACCAAATATCCTGACTCACCAGTAACTGCAGGAGTGACCTAAAGAGAATGGGGAGAGGCACATCGGGTTTCCTCTTTGTTTGACATCTTCTCCCTAAAGATCTCCTTCCGCTGAGGGAAAGATGAGGGCAGGACAGGGAGTGATGGCGCTCTTCCTTTCAGGTTTTCTCCTTGTAACATCACAAGAAATGGGGCCACAGATTCAATGTTGCCTTAGCCTCTTTTTGTTTGCTGGGTGTGAGTGCTAGTTGTTGGTATTGGTGAACTTTGAGCTCCTCTGTCATCTTTAAAAACGTATTCTAATTTGGTGGATGTGCTTTCAGGCTAAAGGGAAGGAGCGGCAGTGGTTAAAGAACCAGGCTCTGGGAGAGCTGGATGACACCAAGATCATCGATGGACTGACTGGAGAGAAGGCTATATATAAACGCAGGGGAGAGCTGGAACCAGAGGTGTTTGTTTTTTCTTGAAACTTTCTTATTTTTGAATCTGCCACACCTCCAAAGACTGCTACACTCACTCCCACAGTCACACATAATTTTGACCTTTATCTGTCAGGCGGTACATTCCAGCGGTGTGTGTGTGTGCGAGATTATTATTACACCCTGCTGTTTCTGCTCCAGCTCACTCAGTTTCTAGTTACGTCTTGTGCTGTCATCTGTGCGCGCATGCACACAGCAGAAAAGTAGTTCCCACACTAATCATGCCAACACACACTAGCCCATAATATAAATACTGTGTTTTTCTAACATATTTAGCTCCAAGTCTTACATAGTTTTGGTCTGAGCTGAGCTACATTGACATAATTGCACCCAGTTTTGAAATCCCGACCTTGTGTAAAATATTATTTTTATGTAACTACACCATCTAAAGTAGGGATTTTAGCTCGATTTAATCAGTAGTTGCTGATGTATTTATTTATTTAGTAACTTATGTGTGCTTACAGCTGGGCAGCCCTCAGCAGAAGCCCAAGCGGTTACGGGTGTTGGCCGACGTGTCGGGCAGCATGTACCGCTTCAACGGTGTGGATGGCAGGCTGGAGCGCTCCATGGAAGCTGTTTGTATGGTCATGGAAGCTCTTGAGAACTATGAGCACAAATTCAAGGTGAAAACGCTACATCGTGCATCACAATACAGAAGATTCTATGTGACTTTTCCTAAGTCAGGTGATAGATAACAGCTGCATGTCCAGTATATGGAGTTTACTTCACGTGAACAATTACTGTGCTTCCTTTGTGTTAGTACACTTTTATATAGTACACTTCATAACCTATATACTTAGTTGTGTAGTGCATGAATCAGTGTTGTCTCATATTATTGTGGAGGGGAAGAGAATTTCAAAGCATTTACATGCGCCTTGACAGCTAAGATAAGCCTAAAAAACAGGTCTAGAGTCATTTTTCAGGTAAAGAATAAAATACTTAGACTGACCATTAATTGACCGCATCAGTTTTTTAGTGTAGTATTCCATGAGTCCTAGCTGTAGTGAATTTAAATGGCTCAGTATGCTATTGCAGTATCGTCCAATATATTATGTTTTTCCTGCATTAGTGTAAATCTTTATTTTAACTTAAGTATCAAGTAGTCGTACATGAAATAATAATAACTATTCAAGCTTTTGTTTCTGGTGTGAAATTCATTATTGCCATAATTCCTGAATTGCACCCAGGTAACCTCGTATATCAAAACATGCAGTGTGTCTTTTAAAGCCTTTCTCATGCCACACTGTGATCTAATTTGTCAGTGCTTTATTGGGTAGGAGTTGGTAATACAGTTGACGCTTTTCATGGAAAATCAGGAGTCCGTTGTAGCCACGAGAAGTGGAATCGGTGCAGAGATGGAGCATGAAAAGAGACAGGGGAGACGGGAGTGCATACAAAAAAAGTTTTGGAGAGAGACAGACTTCTTGGCCCCTTAGTGACACTCAATCCAACCTAATACTGATCACATATCACACAAACTCGCATACACATTTTTCAGTGTCCCACATGGCATTTCAGTCTCACTGCTGTCTTTGAATAACACTCCTTACATAAAAGAGCGTCTGGTAACGCATAAGATGTATACACTGTCACCATGTGCCCGTGCTGCCCGCAGTTTCGCATTATATGTGTGTTTGCATCTTACAATCATCCACCATCGATAGTCAAACGTGTCACTTTATAGTTTGATTCCTTTTTTAGTACACTCTTTAGGCACCCATTCACAATCCTGAAGTGGATGAAGCCCACTGTGGATTGACATGGCCTTAATTTTGGTGACATTGAACCTGGTTAGATTTAGAGCTATGTGTTAGACTTTATGAGTCATGTAGCAAAATAAACCCTGGAAAAACAATACAAAATTGACAGCACCAAAAGGTCTTCTTACCCAGCAACAGTGATATGGATGCATGAGACACACAGTCGCATACCTTTGACCACCACAGTCATAACTGCCCTTATTAGATGTGGCTCATATACATAATACCTGGGTCTTCAAATAGCTGCCTGGGGGCTCACAGTGTCAGGCTGAGTGTGAGCTGCCTTATGTAAGTCAGTTATGATGGATGGTCTGGTGGAGACATGTAAACCTCTGACACTGTTAACATCTTGCAATGTTCGCATTTACAATGTGACCTTTCTGCACCTTCACACCTCTGTCGGGGAGACTGTTACATTACAAGTTAAGTAACAAGTCAAATCACTACAGTCTTTACTTAAATGTTGTAACAATGTGTCTTTTGTGTCTTTTAACTCTTTTCTCTACACAGTATGACATAGTGGGCCACTCGGGCGATGGCTACGACATTGAACTGGTCACGGCAGACAAAATCCCCAAGAATAACAAGCAGAGACTTAAAGTCCTGAAGGTATACTCATGCTTTGTTTTGCTCACCCAATTGGACTGAAAAAAGTGTTTTGCATGCATTTCTTTCTCTTTAACATCTGTGTTCACATGAAATTGTACATTAAGTCAAAGTAGCCACACAAACTGATGAACATCTCCAAACGATGTCATTTGGGGCTGCAAGTATGAAGCTAAATAAAATCTGTGGCTTGCTCTTTATTAATCAGCCTTTTCCTTGCACTTCAGGTCATGCATGCCCACTCTCAGTTCTGCATGAGTGGTGACTACACTCTGGAGGGGACGGAGGCCAGCATCAAGGAGCTAGCGAGAGAAGAAGCAGATGAGCACTTTGTGGTGGTGCTGAGCGACGCTAATCTGGAGCGCTACGGCATTCGGCCCGAGCGCTTTGCCCAAGTCTTGACCTCTGACCCACAGGTCAATGCCTTTGCCATTTTCATTGGCTCCCTTGGCGATCAGGCTGAAAGGTAAGGAGGTGAAGATGATGATAACTTGGGTGGAGTTAACTAAGAGCGAGCAAAGTGCAAAAGAGATGGAAAGAAAAGAGGAGTAGATGAAGGAACATGAAGATGCAAAGAACTCATCACGAGACAATTCTTAAGTTCTGGGGCTCCAGTTGCATTTAGTTAGTTTGCTCTTCAAGGTCATCTTCTCATGCACCTCTGTATTGCTTCCAACACTGCTTTTATTTTTCTGATTGCTTATGTCTGCTTGCACCTGTGTCGTTGCAATTTAAAAATGGACCTCAAATTTACACAGTGAGTGCTTTGAAATCTGGAACTATTGTTAATAATGATCTCATTGGCTCCACTTTGAGGGCTGAGGTCGGTATTTACTTATGTATATCATCACTCTAGGCTCTTGGCTAACTAAGGGTTAGCATGCTGTCTGTGCAGATCCTTGCAAAGACCCTAAGTTGTGTTAGCAGCATAATGTGGTTGTTTCTGTCCTGGATGCAGTTTGCACTTTACCATTGCGCCCTCGTGCTTTTGTGCAATAAAAATAAAAGTCCTTATCCACGCTGTAGACCGTGGCTCTATTTTCCTCCTCAGCCACACAATCTGAAATCAGCTGATTGTAGTGCAGGTGCGAGTGGAACTGATAAGCAAGCAGACTAAACAAATAGAAATACTAGGAATAGAACTGCTAGAAACGGTTCTCAATTCCCATCCCTAGTTTCCCAGAGATTCATGTTGCTGAAAATTTGTCCACTCCCTCTGATTGAAAGCAAAGTGCAGGGTTACTGTTTTGACACACCAGAGGGAATCTAGTGGCATATTAGAGACAGAAGGGCCAGGAGACAGAATGAGACCTCCAGTGCTTTCAGTGCTGCGGTTATCACTGAAAGCAGTCCCAGAGATGAATGAGGAGATAACCCTGAAGAAGAGATTGACCAATTTTTATTTAGTTAAGGTTTTAAATCTTCAATTTCAATTCCAGAATGTTAAAGTAGCTCCTTTTGGGCTGTATTAAAACATCAGCATCCCCATCTGCTGCCTGTCCTTACTGTCCTGTCTCAGATCAAGTTTCCAGGCCAGATGTAAGCGCAACAAGTGTACTCGTTAACCTGCTCCTCCTCATCCTCATTGCCATTCTACTGCAGGCTTCTACTGTAGCTCCTTACCAGACATACATCCTCTCTGTTGAGGCTTGCAGGCCTTGAAGCTTTAAACTCGTTGAAGAACTGCCTGGCTTAATGCAGTCTTTAGCTCCAGGAGCTTCAGAAGATAATAAACCTGTTCTATGCTTTGCTCACGAAGAGCAGAAAAAAAGCAAAGATAGAAAGAGACAAGAAGTCAACTACTCTTTAAGGGCAGGCTGTCAGAATTTGAAGATAGAAATTAAAATAATATCTTGTCATGCCCTGGAAGCCCTGGAATTGGTTATGGATGCCCTTAGAGTTATATAATTTTCCTTCTTGAGCAACACTTTGGGAATGCTAATTTTATATCCCTGTTGACTGCCCATGTGTGTGTATGTCCTGAGAGGAGAAATGCATAGGGACACGGTTGAATGAAAGAACAAAGGCAGAGGCTCATTAGAGTAAATGGGTTTATACAAATGATTCAAAGGCATTGGAGGTGGCTCTGTTGTCTTGTTGCTGAGCTCCACCGAGTGAAAGGCATCTCTTTCATCCACACACACTCATACACTGTATTCTTTTAATGGGAATATGTAGTGCCAGCTCACACAGCAGATACAAGTAGTCTCTTTTAATTTTGGGAAACAATTCCAGTGCTAAAGTTCAGTTCCTTTCTTTGACCTCTATCTTCATTCTCTCTTCGTGTTCTTTTGTTTCAGACTCCAAAAGACCCTTCCAGCAGGGAGGTCCTTTGTCGCCATGGACACCAAGCAGATCCCCCAAATCCTGCAGCAGATCTTCACCTCCACAATGTTATCCAGTGCCTGATGCAAACACATAGTACATACCGTACACTCACTTGTTATCTCACACACCCAAAACTTCAAAAAGTTTGTTGTGAAAGCGCTGAAGATCTTCACACTCTGTGTCAGATCAAATGACTTTATCATGGCTGCAGCAGGTCCGGAGGGGTCGCATTAGCACGAGCCGGGGGTTTGACAGTTTGTTATTGTTAAGAAGCCTGTTAGCATGACAGAGTAACTAATGTTTAGATATTTTGCTGTGTCCCTCTGGGAACAGCTACAGTACACAAAGTGTGTGATCTCTTTTAGTGTGACTGTAATCTGCTGTGTGATCGGTGACGCGAATGCCTGGAGCCTGTCTCAGATCCCATGTAGGGATCAAACACACAGCCTAACAGCTGTTCTTTTTAATTGTGTTTTTGCCCCTACACACACACACACACACACACACACACACACACACACACACACACACGCCTTTGTCCTCTATTGGGCTGTGAGAAACTCAAAGGGAAGGGCCATGGAGTCGTGACAGCATCCATTTATGTCAGAGCTCCTGACTTCTTGTCTGTCACGCAGAAAAATGCACAGACACACACAAGAAAGCCGACAGTAAAGCCCCACCTGACCGACACTAGGATGCGCCGAGCAGCAATAACTTGGCGCCTTTGGTATGTTGGGACTGCCACCAGGGAATTTCCCACCTGGCTGCACGCGGACTTTAAAGCCTGCCGCTGTTGTACACCCCCATGCTGTGTGAGTGTGCGTGTATGTGTGTGTGTGTATTTTCCTAGAGCATCTATGTCAACATGTGCAGACCCTTTTCTTCCTGTCTGGTGGAACATGTGTTGCCTCGTGTGCGCTCAGAGCTGCCTTTCATTGCAAGAGCTCCCAAACACAAAATACTTTCACTGCGAGACAGATGAAGAGAAAAATACAGGACTAGTGGGTCAGTGTGTATCAAACATCATATCGGTGTCTTCCCTGGTTGTCATAGTTTTTGTTCATGCCTGACTATGTTGAATCAATAGAAGCCTGTCCAGCTGTCAGCCTCTATTGATTTCTGTGAGTGAGGCATATGCCATTTTTTTATTAACCTACTTTAATTTGCCTCTGGCTCCTGGGCTGCTGAGTAGTTGGAAATGTAAGATATTTGCTGGGTGGAACCTCATGTTGGGAAGGCATTAAAAAGTGTATATTAAAATTCATACATGTATCTAGTTTTCACATTGTTAATTTCTGGTGAAATAAACTGTAAAAGTAATGTAGAGCATTTTAATAAATGTTAACATTGCTATTTGATTCAATTTCTGCCCCATCACTTCCCTTCTGAAGACTATTTCTGCTGCTGCTCGATTATCCGATAAGTCACATTTCTGACGAGCGTTCCTGTCCTTCCTGGTGTTGCAAAAGAAAACCGTTTATCTGCAGAAGTTTTTTTTTAAAAAAAAAAACAAGTGGAGATAATGGATGAAGATTAAGTATTTCTTAACAAGAAGCAGTCAGAGAGTGCAAACCTCCGTCACAGCAGCTCACTCTCTGAGCAGGTTTTACTTTCAGGGAAATCATTTCATATTTTGTAAATTTTTGTTTGGTTTTCTTTGTTCTTTTTATGTTATTTATTTAGGACAGTGCATGTTAATGAACATAAATGTAAAAAAATTACATGAATGTAAACATACCAGATTATAGCCATTTAATTTCCATCTGTTGTCCATAAAAAAATAGACATAATAATTCATAAAAAATGCATAATTCATTCATAATAAAAACTCCATCACCAAACTCACACATACACACCATTCTGTTCCCAAATAAAACATTAAAACTATACAACTCATACATGATCACACACTTGATTTGTCCATAACCAGTTTTTAACCTTTGCCTGAAACAAATTGAATGTCGAGCATTCTCTAATGGGTTGAGGACGACTGTTCCACAGATGGCCTCCCTGGACAGAAAGGACGTTCTGCCCAAATGCTGTCCGTCTGTGGGGTATAAACAAGTCTCCTCGGGTTGAAGCTCGAGTGGTCCTGTCTGAGCTTTCTTTATGCCTAATGAACTGCTTTAGTGGTGGTGGAGCAAGCTAGTGTAAGACTTTATATATTAAACTCACTCTTTTAAGTTTCACTAAGTTATTGAAGTTCAGTAATTTATGTTTTTTAACACATGACAGTGGTGGTGGGAAGTTGGTTTTTTGTCAAGTAGTTTTAAACTTCTTTTATAAATGTTTTCAATAGTTTTAAGGTGTTGTTGGACAAATCATTGAGTAAAAATAAGTTTTTGCAACATTCATATTTAAATTATTACGTATATGATTAAAATTTCGATTATTAAATTTAAGTACCTGGGACACTTTATTTATGTGACTCTTGAAGGATAATGTTGGGTCTAGAATGACCCCAAGATATTTAAATTCTGGAGCTAATTCAAGCTCTACTCCATCCAGGAATATGTTTAAATAATTTTAATAATTATTATTAATCATTTTTAAATGTACTTTGAAAACTTTGTAGTCCAGTTAAAACCAGATAAGGAATGCATGAAGATGTTTACTTTGATTACAGAAACCTTCTGAAGGAGTAGGCGATGGTATGATTTGTAAATAACTGGACAAATAGCTTTATTTTATAATGCAATATTATACTGCAGTGTATTTTTAACTAGGCAACTCATTCTCTTTCTTTAAAGATACAAGACATTGTGGGGTCAACCTGAAAGAAAGGCAGATGTGAAATGTAAAAGTGAGGTCAGAGGTCAAATGTGATATATTTAGATGCAAACTATAATGTGATGTTTAGAGTCCCCATATACCAGAATCGTTCAATAAATGCTTTTAAGTGTAGCTTGAAAGATGAGACATTTTATGAAAGTTTGATATTATTTGACCTTGAAGAAGAGGTCAAAGGTCCAAAGTAAGTGATATTTAGAATCCCCATATAGCATCCCCTATATGCCCATATGATGTCAGTATAAGCAATGACAGTAATGGCAACAGGTCTATATAGTTTTATTATCACTTTGACATTCAGTTCAATCGATTGACCTTGAAGGAGAGGTCACAGGTCAAATGTGACATGATATTAAAGGACCTTGAAGACTTCAGTGGATAGAAGCCAGATTTTAATAGATTGTTAACATGAGTCCACTTTACACGCCTTTTTAAAAAAAAAATTTTTTTAATCAGAATTCATTAAAAACTTTCTGACTTATCATGTTTACAGACTGAAATAATGGCAGCGATACACACAAGCGTTTGCTGGTGGTAATAAGTGGAGACTAGTCTCTAAATTGTAATTTTACAGAAGAAATGAAGTAAAACTTCCAGTTGGAGAATGGCCACTGCTTGCTATTAACACAAAAACTGACTTCTTTAGTTCATAATTCCTAAAAGTGCTCCGGGCTGCCCCTTTCTTCCAGTGGGTTGTCACGGCTGATGGATCCGCATGTTTTGATTTGGCACAGATTTTGCACTAGACTCTCTTTTTTTCCTGATGCAATCATCTTCCAACATTTATAATACATTCAGAAAAAAAAACTTTTGCTTTTGCTTGACACAAGCCGTAATTGTGAGCAGATTAAAGGACTTTTTGCAAGTGTTGGTTAGAGTCAACATTTATAATTTCATATTCAGTGTCAGCAACATATTTAGGATGTTTAGTAAAACCACGAATGACATGTGGGCAATAATGCGTTACTGTGTTGTGTATAATTCTACAAGGGAACACAAGAACTCCATTCTTAGAAACCAAGGCACTTCTTTGCATCCCAGACCGCTCGGCTTTCCCCTCATTTCCTGCTGGTCACTTTTTCCGTGTGCCTCAATGATCCATTCATTGGACCACAATCACCAGGCCCACCCTCCCACTGTTTTGACTGTAGCCAAAACAACTGTCTGCATACTATGTGCTGTTGTTCACATATACGCACAGCATGCTGATAGCTCTGGTGCTACATTCATTGTGTTCTTTGGGTTTCCGTGCTTTACCACCAGAAATAATTTGCCACACTGTTCTCGCTGCTTTGAAGTCTTTCCTCCTCCGGTGCTCGGGTAATGACGTTTTAGAAGATTATTTATGTTCTCAGTCAATGGCTGTCATGACTTTCTCTGACTATGCTGCTTCCTCTGTTTACTCTTAGTGGGCCTGTGAGGAAAAATAAGCGCCCTTTCTATAACACAGAGGATCTTATTTCAAGAAATATATGAGGTTTATGTGAAATTTACAACATGCACATGCAAAATAAGATTCATTTACATAAGAATGTTGCTGGTATACAGTGAGTATGTCTACACTAACCTCTGCTTGAGACTGTCTGCCCAGTGTGCTGGTAATTACATACTGCTGCTTGCTTCCTGTGCTATACTGCTTCATTGACTCATTGTTTATCACGCTGAATTTGCAATGACAAATGGTTTTAAGATAACTTTGTGTGCCGACACACACTTAACCTGTTACACTCATCCTAAGTCCCTCTACAAACGCAAAATAAGACGTGGTATAGTGGGGCGTTACATTCATTAGTCACAGTTAGATGTGTGTTTATCTTGTGTTTCCCCCTTCTTACACGCTGGCGTACCCTATGAGTCACATTGTATTTTTTTGCAGTTGGCAAAATGTGCAATCTATTTTCAGCTACTTCTTGCTGATGTTGTTACATTTCATGCCTGGGCACACAAATACATGTTCACTACGTACTGTAATAAGTGTGAGCAACTCGCATGGCTGGCTTTGGGTTAAACTACAGTGGGACTGATCACAGGAGGGACACCACAGGGAGAGATTGACTGTGACTGTGATTGATTGCTGATCTTGTGGCAGCCTAGCAGGAGACATGAAGCGGGGTGATTGCTTTAGTGCAGGGGTCCCCAATCCCAGTCCACGAGGGCCGGTGTCCCTGCAGGTTTTAGATCTCACCCTGGGTCAACACCTGAATCACATGATTAGTTCATTACCAGGCCTCTGGAGAACTTCAAGACATGTTGAGAAGGTAATTTATCCATTTAAATCAGCTGTGTTGGATCAAGGACGCATCTAAAACCTGCAGGGACACCGGCCCTCGTGGACTGGGATTGCGGACCCCTGCTTTAGTGTTTCCCTATAAACATTAAAAGCAGGGGCATATGTGCTCATTGTAGCTGCTGGGTGATTGATGCCAGTCTTCTAGCTTGCTTGCAGCCCTGTATGTTAGGAATGTACCCACAGGAATGTTACCTGCTCAGTAGATGGAAACATTTCTCAAAAACACAGACTCTGTTTTTTGTTTCAATAAACACATTGCTGTAAATGTACATCTTTGTGTGAACAATATGTGCAATGGCAGCTTTAGTTTGCCTTACTGGGGCGCTCTTAAGCAGAATCCTTATGCCAGACAACTATCTCATCCAGCTCTTCTGGAGGCACACCAAGGCATTCCCAAGGCAGCTGAGAGGCA